AAGGACACCTGACAGTTAAGTCCAGTCGCAGACGACTCTGGGGTTGCGGAGCTCATCTCGCTTTACTGGCCGAGGGAGCTGACATTTGTCCGCAGACAGTTTTTCCGGGTCATGTGCCAGCATGACTAAGCCGCTTCTGACGAAACCAAAGCAGCGCACGGAAACGCCATTTACCTTCTCACCAGAGCAGAACCTATTTATCTACTTGCACGTTGATGTGCTTCGAACTGCTAGGTTGGCAGGAGCTGGGACCAAGCAACAGGAGCTCACCCCATTGCGGGGATTTGAACCGCCAACCTTCCGATCAGCAAGCCCTAGGCTCAGTGGTTTAGACCACAGCACCACCAAATCAGGTTAGAGGTTCAGTATCTGGAGAACCACAGGTTCCCCACCTCTGGTGTCTAAGACTGCAGCCTTTGTCAACTGATCCCCTAGGTTAATCCATCAAGCCATCCATCGATATACAGTGGACCCTTGGTTTTCCAACAGCATAGTTGACAAACAAACTGGCTCCCGAACACTGAAAACTCAGAAGTAAGTGTTCCGGTTTTTGAACACCGAATGTCCGACACACCTTCCACTTGAGTGCAGGAAACTCCTGCAGCCATCAGAAGCCATGCCTTGGTTTTCAAACTGTTTTGGGAGTCGAACGGACTTCCGGTACAGATTAAGTTTGAGAACCAAGGTTCCACTGTGCTTGAAAGGTGCCTTCACAATTAATTGGTCAGCCAATCTAAATCTATAGTTTTTAAATTTAAGAATACAGCTGGTGCCACCCATCATCTTAAAAGAGGCTTTCCCACCTCTGTGTGTGAGAGAGAAAATATGCATGCTTGCATCAACTAACTGAAAACTTTGCTGTGCGCTCCCCCTTTTATCCTCCTGTGCAAAACTCAACAGATTTTGCAATGGTCCTAGAAAGGGGAGGCATGCAGGCATGTATGTCCCATTGCCTTAGGTGTGACATTCCTGATACTTTCTTACACAAGACAGTGAGGGTAGGATTGCAGCCTCAGGTTGTGCACACACTCACCCGCTAGTGCCACAAAAAATTAGTTTTTCTCAATCCATTCATGTTCATCTCCAAAATGCTTTCAGTCCAGATTCAATCTAGATCCTGCCATGCACAACAGTGGGCGTGGATACTTAATTCTTATTAGGAAATCCTCAGAGCAGATAAAACAAGTACTTCTTCATGCAGAACCTAGTTAAGCTACAGAACTCCCTCCCACGGGAAGGAAGCGATGCTCACCAACTTAGATGGCTTTAAAAGCGGATCAGGCAAATTAATGGAGGAGAAGGCTAGCTATGCGACAGAATGCGGCAGCTAGATGGGTGTCTGGGAGTGGCCACCGAGATCATATAACCATATAAGACCATATAAGGTCTTGAAACACCCACATTGGCTCCCAGTACGTTTCCAAGCACGATTCAAAGTGTTGGTGCTGACGTTTAAAGCCCTAAACAGCCTCGGCCCAGAATACCTCAAGGAGCGTCTCCACCCCCATCGTTCAGCCCAGACACTGAGGTCCAGCTCCGAGGGCCTTCTGGCGGTTCCCTCACTGCGAGAAGTGAGGTTACAGGGAACCAGGCAGAAGGCCTTCTTGGTGGTGGCACCCACCCTGTGGAACACTCTCCCTTCAGATGCCAAGGAAACAAACAACTATCAGAAGGTAGCCCTGTTTAGGGAAGTTTTTAATGTCTAATGCGTTGCATTTTTTATGTGCTGTAATAATAATAATAATAATAATAATAATAATAAACTTTTATTTGTATCCTGCCCTCTCCAGCCAAGACCAGGTGCAGGGTGGCTAACATCAAATATAAACATTGATATAAAATCAAACAATAATTAAACCACCTCTTAAAAACAACTCAGGATAAAATTAAAATCTGGATTAGATGGCTTTCCGCAGGCCTCCCAGAGTGGCTGGGGAAACCCAGCCAGATGAGCGAGGTATAAATAAATAAAAAATTGTTATTATTACAATAAGCCAAACTGTTTCCCGGAAGAGAACGCTCCAGTTGCAGATTTCGGTTTCTATCTTGCACATGTAAATCCTCCTCTGGTTCTTGCCAAATGAACCACTGCGTCCTTAACATTACAAACCTGACGACTGCAATCCGGATGAGCAGCAGAGAGTCACCTGCACTTCCGTGTGGAATGCGATCTCGGGAAGAAATAAAAATCCCCTATGAAAAATTACACCTGCCTCCTCAGTGACTTACGGTACATATCGCACGCCGCCGTTTCTCCGTCTTCTCCTACAATGAGAGCAATCCTACTTTGTTAACTTCTCAGTTTCGGGTTCCTGCAATACACGTGACTCCACCTTGGCGCACGGCGCTGCCTCTAACAGCGCGCAACGAACAGGTCCTAAAGTCGGTTTTCCCCTTTACTCGGTTCAGGAGAAATAAAGAAAAAAAGTGTTCTCCCCGACTGACGCGATCGTGCCATTTCTCTCCCTTGCAAAATAATAAAAATAATAATAAAAGCATTTTACCTGCTTCGATTACTGACTTTATAAACAAATATATTTTCTCCCCCGCCGCACACTTCGCACGCACTTTTGGATGTGCACCGCACAGCAAATTTTATGGTAATTTCACCCCTATCCCCCTCCCCCCCGCTTAAAAATAATAGCGATTCTGTTGCGGTCCGAACTCATTCCTTCCACCAGGAGGCAGCAAGGAACAATAAGCAGCTTGGAAACCGAAAGTCGATCGTAGATGCACCGGGAAATCAGGGCGCTTCTGGAGCCGCCGCGCGCGCAAAACAAAACGGCCGCCCCTCGGGAAACCCCCTCAGCGCCCCCCACTCCAAACGATCTGCTCCACATTCTTTCCTAGGTCACTCTGCTGAACGTCTGGATCGCCACGGATTTGCCTTGAAAGGTATGCGGGGTGGGGGGGCTGGCGGGGTGGATGGGGATTGGAGAGGAGCTGGGGGCGGCTGGCCAAAGTTTAGCCAGAGCTGAGTTCAGATGGCGAGCAATTCAGATTGCAGGGAAAGGGAGGCTTCCCCCCCAAAGCGGCTTAAGATCAAGAGATCCCTTCGCCCACCCCGCCTCCCGACCGGTGGATCGCTGGGAACCTGCCACTGAGGTCGCGGGAGGACAGCCTGAGGCCCGCCTGCAAAAGGACGGGGTGGAAGGAAAATGTGGACCGGCGGCGCAAACACTTGACTCGGAAAGCCAGCCTCCCATCCATCTGGATCCTGGGGGAAGCGAAGATCCGGCTCTGACACCTTAGTGGACTTTTCCATTTCTATTTGTGCTTTTTCGGAGCGGGGGCCAATGTAATTTCAGTAGGTGGCCCTTGGCTTAAAATATTTGGAAAGTGTTGCTGCCTTGGCTTAAAATATTTGGAAACTGTTGCTGCCTTGGAGGTACTTAAGAAGCAGGAAGTGGCTCAGGATACGGCGCTCAAAAACAAGAGCGCAGGACAACAGATGCGTTGCTATTAGTCATAGGGAACCTCCAGCGTCAGGTGCAGTATATGCCGCCAGGTATTGACTAGGAAGTAAATAGCTCCCGCCTTCCTGCTGTGCGTCTGGGAAGCGTCTGCTTAGCCACACTGGAATGCAGGATGGCAGAGTGCGTTGGACTTTGGCCCGATACAGCAGGGCTTTTAATAATGGTAACGTTAATAGCAACAGCACCAACTTCTTACTCTATCAGCGCAGAACACCTAGCCAAGGAGGACCAAAATTGAGAAGATCCATAATTGGTGTAGGACTGTAAATTATTTGATGTGTTAATGTGAATGGAAGTCGTTAAAATTGCAGCTGCGGTACTGTATAAGGGTTTGTTATTCTGACTAGCGTGCATTGGAATTTATAAGTTTTTAAAGTGCAGAGTTAAAGTAAATCATCAATTCTAGCACGGAGGGCAACAAAATAATATAATTTGGCATCTGAACAATCGACATTATTAATCGTATTATAATTTGGTATTATATTTTGGTATGGGCAATGAGGCTTTTATTGAGCTATTGTAATTGAAAACTTGGGACGCGGGTGGCGCTGTGGGTTAAACCACAGAGCCTAGGGCTTGCCGATCAGAAGGTCGGCGGTTCGAATCCCCGCGATGGGGTGAGCTCCCGTTGCTCGGTCCCTGCGCCTGCCAACCTAGCAGTTCGAAAGCACATCAAAGTGCAAGTAGATAAATAGGTACCACTCCGGCGGGAAGGTAAACGGTGTTTCCGTGTGCTGCTCTGGTTCGCCAGAAGCGGCTTAGTCATGCTGGCCACATGACCTGGAAGCTGTCTGCGGACAAACGCAGATGAGATGAGCGCCGCAACCCCAGAGTCGGCCACGACTGGACCTAATGGTCAGGAGTCCCTTTACCTTAATTGAAAACTAATAGAAATTATAACACACACACAAAAAGAAAATCCATAATGGAGAAAATCAATGGGGGGGGGGATTTTGAGACCTTGCACAAACAAATTTTGGCCTTGGACAGAACACCATAATTATGAAAGATTACCAAAGTCTGCCCCAGATTCTATTACTATGCTTCGGCATCAGTGCTGTGTATTTTGTAAGTGATTATAATGTTCTATAATTTTCCCCAAAGGTTTTTTTTCTTTCTTCCTTTCTTTCTAAAAGCAAACAAAAACTGAAATGCAATGCAAAGGGTTTCCCTCTTTTGTGAAATTAGCAGTGTCTCACAGGGCAGAGGAAGTGAAATGCTCTCACTTATATGTGGGTGTCTTAAAGGTCAACGTGCTGTGTGTGTTAAGGCAAACTGACTGTGACATTCATTCTGATTTGTTTGCAGAGTTATGCAAACAACTTTCTGTTGTACTTTTCCCTTATCACAAGAAGCGAATCTTCGCGAGCCACTGACGGTTCATTGTAGACAATATTAGTATTAATCCTGTAATGGCCAAACTTGGCCCTCCAGCTGTTTTGGGACTACAATTCCCATCATCCCTGACCACTGGTCCTGTTAGCTAGGGATGATGGGAGCTGTAGTCCCAAAACAGCTGGAGGGCAGAGTTTGGCCATCACTGGATTAATCCAAATAGGCCAATGGTCTCAAGTTGGAAAAAGGCAGCTGTGCAGAAGAGGGGATTTCAACAAAAAGAGCTTTTTTCACCTCTGGTCCAGCATCTTGTATTTACCGTGGTCAACCAGATGCCCATAGTTTTAACTGCACTGCCTGAATCAGTGCTCCCTTTTCTCTGCCCTAAACCTTCCAACATACAGCTTCCTTGGAGTTCGAGAAACATTTCTCTTGAGTATTTGCTTGTCTCCAGAGCTCCTTGTGTGAATTAGGCCCCTTAAGTTGGTTCTGAAAACATTTAGCAGGGAGGTATCGTTGCAACATAGAATGGGGAGGAAATCCATGGCTAGGTAGCAAAAGGAAGTGGTTAGGCCATATATAGAGCTGTGTGGGAATGAAGCTGAGAGGCTGGGCTGTGAGCGGGTGCCTGCATTTTGAGGATACACATTTAAAACAAAGGAGGAGAGGAGGAGGAACCGAGATGCTTTGAAGAGAGGGAATGGCCATTTCGGACGACGGTGCAAGGATGAAAAGGAGCTAGCCGGAACCAAATTGGATAGGGTGAATTGTTGGTTCGCTGTCAGCCAAATACGTACCGTGGCACTTTCAGGTGGAGAAAGTCAGGCCTGAAGTAGGGAGAGAGAGGACTCTCCTTAACTAAGGCTATAAAGGTGCAAACTGACGCTTTGTTGAGCAAACACCTGCTGGCCTGAGACCTAGTCCAAGATGGCTGCCAAGAGACGAGGTGAAGCAGAGGTTGGCGAGAGCAGGCCCAAAAGGTGTGTTTCCCTTCAGGCAAGTTTCACTGATAACTAGCACACGGGGGTTACAAGATTAAGGATCAAAGAGCGTTCTTTGAATATAAACAGTATTTTGTTATTAATACCTTGCTGTCTTTCTCTGGGGAAAATGTTTCATTTTTAATCATTGCATTTTCCTATGGAAACTTAAAGTTCTGCTCATTCTTCATTCTTCTTCTTCTTATGGAAACTTAAAGTTCTGCTCATTCTTCTTCTTCTTCTTCTTCTTCTTCTTCTTCTTCTTCTTCTTCTTCTTCTTCTTCTTAATTTGATTTCTCACCTGACCATTTGCAATAAAGTCCCGGGGGGGATTGCAACAATTTAAAATGCAATGCTTGAAACGGTTTAAAACACCTGGAGGTGTTGCTTCAGGATGCAAACACTGTGGAATGGGAATGATACAATGAAGGTGTTAGGTTCACACTTGTAGGGAGGGGATTCCACAATTTAGGGGCTGCCATTTGGGGCCTAAGTCATTTTATGGCGTTAATCACTAGTGCAATAGTGTTTAAATTGGCTACACACCAACACTTTATGTGATGCTTCTCTTTCGCCCTGGGAAAAATGGAAGTCAAAAGTCGGCTTGAGGGCCCCATTCCTTACAGTCAAGCAGAAGGCATTATCAGAGTTCAATGGCAAAACCCAGCAAAAACATGGAGATGTAGGGCAGCTGAGGGGTGTGGCCTGAGGAGAGTTCTGAGGGCCATATAGAGAGGCCTGGAGGGCCACATTTGGCACAAGGACCTTTGGTTCCCCACCTGTGGACTAAACAAAAAGGAAGCAGGCTATTGGTTCTTGTTTCAGAGGTCGAAGCCAGGCAGCCCTAATTTTCCCCAACCTGATAACCTCTCACATAACAAATTTTGGGTGGAATAAGGCCCTATTTATAACATAAACATTATTCAAGACAACGCTGGCCCCTTTTCTCTTTCTCCAAATATCCAGCCTAGAGCTGAGCTGAGCTGGCTGCATGGCTCACTAAATGAAAAAAAGGTGCCCTGTTTCATGCCATCTCCTCAGATGATGTCTCAGATGCGGAACACATTGTCCCACAATAAGTGACTTGTTCAATGTCTCCTTATGCATTCTCTCCCCCTTCCTGCCAGGCCTCGATACGATCCTATGGCAGTTCAGCCGCCGCCGGATTCCCAAAAGCAAGCCGCTGCCTATGCAGAAGAATATGATATCATCACCGAAGAAGACATCGAAGAGATTAGGGATGCACTTGAAGGAGGAAGAATGGCAGAAGCAGCGTCCAAAATATTGGAAAACCTGCAGGCTTTGGAGAATGCCCGGCTGGACATTGCAGTAACGGGAGAGTCTGGTGCCGGCAAGTCCTCGTTTGTCAATGCCATTCGAGGCCTAGGGGATGAAGACGAAGGATCTGCCGACACGGGGGTTGTGGAGACCACAAAAGTGCCCACTCCTTATTCACACCCCAAGCACCCCAACGTGACTGTGTGGGATCTTCCCGGAATCGGCACTCCAGATTTCCAGTCCAGCACTTACCTTGAGCAGGTCAGCTTCTCCCGCTATGACTTCTTTATTCTCATTGCCTCAGAGCGCTTCAAGTCCAACCATGCCCAGTTGGCACAGGAAATCCAGCGGCTGGGCAAATGCTTCTACTTTGTGCGCTCAAAGGTAGACGCAGATCTACAGGCCACCAAAAAGCGCCGGCCAAAAGCCTACGACGAGGCGGCAATACTGAGGAAGATTCGAGAGAATTGCAAAGAGTGCCTTCAGGCCCAAGGAGTGGCTGCTCCCCAGGTCTTCCTCCTTTCCAGCTGGGAGCTAAACAAGTACGACTTCATACAGCTCGAGGAGACTCTGGAGAAGGAGCTTCCGAGCCACAAGAGACATGCCTTCCTCATGGCCCTGCCAAACATCTCTTTGTCCATCTTGCAGAAGAAGAAAGAGGCCTTGCAGAAGCAAATCTGGAAGCTGGCTACCATCTCATGCGGAATAGCAGCTGTGCCCATCCCAGGCCTCTCTGTAGCTTGCGATATAACTATCCTGGTTAAGTCTCTTTCGGAATACCGTCAGAACTTTGGCCTAGACGACGAATCCCTCAGCAAATTAGCTGAGAAAGTTGGCAAGAATGTGGAGGAGCTTAAAGAGGTGATTGAGTCACCATTGACCAAAGAAATCTCCAGGGACCTCGTGGTGAAGATGTTAACCAAAGCTGGTGGTGGGGCATTGATGCTGGTGGAGTACTTTGCCAGCACGATCCCTGTATTTGGCTCCGTGACAGCTGGAGGGATATCCTTTGGAACCACGTATTACATGCTTTACAGCTTCCTAAACGAGGTGGCAGGTGATGCTCAGCGTGTCCTCGTCAAGGCCTTTGAGTCTGATGTTTGAAAGAGTTCTTCGGATCTCGTGTAGTGATCCATGATGGGTGCTTAGCTTCTAAATGGATGGAACGGCACTGAATCGAACAGAGCTCTGTCCTACAGTTCTCGAGGTTCTTTGGGGAAAGCTGTGGCAGTTAAACTAGAATGAAGCTGGTTGAACCTTGTAATGTAGACGTGAGCCATATGCATTTGACTGGAGGCCTTTTTGAATCGGATTGCTTCCTTTAGTGAAAAACTGGATGATGAATGTTTAATTTTGTTTTAATGTTACCACTCTAATGACTTCATAACTAAAGCCAAGATTGTGGTGTTTTATACCCGGTGAAGCTCCTCTGGCAACATTCAGGGCTTAACTTAACAAAGAACTGGAATACAAATCAGTTCCCTTTTTACTAGTGGTTCAAGCCACAGATTGTGACAACCTGAATCTTTAGGCCTGTCTTGGTTTCCTTTCCTTTTTTCTTCTGAAATAATAAAATGTGTCTAACCTAAAGCATCTAGAGTGTTCAAGTTCCTTTGTTTGAAGCAGAAGATTTAAAACAAATGGCATCTTCTCGTTCATAGGTAACTCTCACTCAGGTCCTGTTGCCCTCTAGAAAAAACTTTTATCTGGCCAGCTTCAATCCCGTTAGCTATATTGGATCTCCAGGTTAACTTCTAGAGTCAGTATTTAAGCAACAGCCCATACTAAGGAGGGGGGAAAATAACGGCTGGGAGAAATTTTAATGGGATGGGGCACACGTTTTCCACAAGTCTTGGAGCTTGTAGGTAAGCCCAATAACATTTTGTTCAGATTTTAAAAATGCATTCTTTGACAAATGAAATACTGAGTTTGGCTAATAACCCAAGGAAGTTTAACCAATTTGTTAAGCAAATCCTCTCTACTGATGACCCAGTGATACAAACTTTAAGACCACGATTCTGAGTACATGTGTTGCTTAACAAGCAAGACTAGTAAATTGTGGCTTTGGTTTGATAAACTGAATTCATACAAGACATGTTGGAGCTACTTATTAGGACCCACAATCTAAATTTTCATGTTTCTTATAAATCCTGTTCTAATCAAACATGGTAAGGGGTTGTGGGGTTTTTTTTGGGGGGGGGGATAAGGTGACTTATGAAAACCAAGTACAGAAACCATGCAAGAATTCCAGGGGTGTCAGATCCTAATTGCTGTGATGTAGCTTTCCAGACAGCAGAATGTTTCATGTTTCCTGGGGCACTGTTCTGCCATCTAACCTTTTCCTGAGGCCAAAGCATGATGTGGTTATGTCAATGAAAGTCCTCTCCAACCACATCCATGAAGCATGACAGGAATCATGTCACACATGAAAAGCTCTCAGGGATTTTTGGCTGTGGTACATGTACTTCACTTCTGCCAATCTATAAACAAAGCCAGTGACAGTCCGCAGAACAGGGAGAGCAATCAGGCTGTCATGAGGACGGTAGGAAGTGATGGAGGGAAAAGCAGTGACGTGTCAGCGTCATTCCTGACACTTGGCGCTTCAAAAGGCGTTTGCTGAAAAACATTCCCTGGAGGAAATATGCTGGCAAAGCAGAACCCAGCACAGTTGACCCCTGCATCCCACCCATCAGGTGATTGACAGGTGGGTGTGGTTTTGTGGATATCACTTTGTGGGTCAGATTACACCCAAAAGTGGCCCATGGACCAGAGATTTTCCACCCCTGTGCTAAAGAGATGTTCTGCCACCTCCAAGGTGGACTGGAGGAAATAAAAAATATTTTCAAGCCAACTTTCATTTTGCACAGGAGCCCATCACTCGAGAATCATGCCTCCTTATCTTTCTCTAGGTCCGGGTTTCCCAAACTTGGGTCTCCAGCTGTTTTTGGACTACAACTCCCATCATCCCTAGCTAACAGGATCAGTGGTGATGAGAACTGTAGTCCAAAAACAGCTGGAAACCCAAGTTTGGGAAACCCTGCTCTAGGTTAAGTCTTCTTATATCCCTTCTTCAGAGGGATGCAATTACAGACATTATTCTTTCAATAATTTTATAGGCCAGGCTATGCTCAACATACAGGCATCTGTGCATACCCACACTAGAGATACTGTTAACAATGGAGGCAGTCCGGAGTTTTTTGGGAGGGAAAGCCACACACAACGTGAAACGGCACAAACAATTTATTAAACAAGAATGTCATATTCCCCAAAGAGAAGTTACTCTTAACTCACATTGCTGCAGGAACAAGAAATCTAGGCTTGGATCGAGGAAAGGGGCAGAGACTTGAGGAGGGGGAGATGCGTCGGGGTCCACGTCCCTCAAAATGGAAGGTTATGAGCAGCACACTTGACTACAGGGAAGTACTGTCTCAACATATACAAAGCAACAACTCTCGCTCCCCACTGACCTTTGCCCTGACTCACCACTGCAATTGCAGAGATATTATTTTTCCTGCTTAGAAGGGTAGGAGGAGGTTACTGGTGGTTCTTGTCACAACTCCTACACTGACTTCTGCTTCTGGAGGGAGTCGCAGCCCATGAGAAGACATGCAGAGCTCTCCCGTCTTCGCATGTAGGTGGGAATCGAAGCCCTAAGAGACATGGAGCAAGACCCATGCTGGGCGGCAGGCAGTACGGTGGCCCAGTAGGGACACCACACCAATCCTGTTTCTGCTCCTTGAAACTTGCATAGCATCACCGAAGGAGGGCTAGTGCCCACCCCCTACAGCTCCCTCTCTGGGAGACACACGTCGCTTTGTGCCTCTGGACGCCGGCTCAGATGCCCTGGCCCACCCAGCTCGGGGGGTGGGGGGAGCCTGGCTGCTGTTTGGCAGCTACCAATGCGAGGATGTCACGCTCAGGCCAGCAGGCGGCTGTACTCGGAGAGAGCAGAGGATTTCTTCACACCATCCCAGATGCGAGCTGCATAGTGGAACCTGCCCAGGAGAGGGAAAGGGAACATGGCAGTCAGCTTCAGCCCAGAGGCAAACTGGGTCCTACTGAGTTACCTGCTCTGTTCCACAATAGCCTCACAATACCCATAATGTTATGGCAAGTTAATCTGCATACGTATATTATTTATTTCTACTTTCAACTGGCAGATACTCAGATGTGTGTGTGTGTGTGTGTGTGTGTGTGTGTGTGTTTGTGTTAATTTTTTTGGAAGCAAGTAACAAGGGAGAAGGAGCACACTGGAAAGATACAAAAACCCCAGAAAACCGAGGCATGCAAAGAAAGGAAGGAAGGAAGGAAGGAAGGAAGGAAGGAAGGAAGGAAGGAAGGAAGGAAAACAGGGTAGAGAATCCATGCCTGACAGACAAAACTCAGGTTTTCAAGTTTTTGTAAGCCACATCCTATTTCTAAATTTCTGTGTGCAGGAGAGCTAGAAACTTGCTTTAATATACAAAATGTGCTGCTTCAAAGGCAGATTTTACATCTGAAATCCACTTGTGCAGTGGGCCTGCATGCAAAGGAAATTTGGCAGCCCTTTCTCTGGCATACCAGAACAGGAGAAGGGCAGGCTTTTCACTCCTACGTAAGGGTGACTGGGGCCCCTCTAAAATGCACTGTGGCTCACAACGCTACCCAGCTGCCCGCAACTCCATTTACTATGGCAAATTTACCTCTTGCATCTCCTGAGGATGATCTATATAGTGCACAACAGACTGAGAGTATGCACACTCGCAGGAGTGAGGCAGCTTTCATTATGCAGTGAAACTCACATTGTGTTTATAGTAGAGGCATTCCTGACTCTCACACCCCTAGGTTTAAAATCCTCTTAAATCACATGAAAAGGTTAAGATGGAGCCACTTCAAAGGACGAGGTACATCTTATACAGCAATTTTTGCTCTGTTCTTAGCAGAATAACATACTGGTACTTTTAGACATCACAAAATGTCCAGTATATGCATCTCAGAATTGCCAGTTAAAGAGTCTGATGCACAGGTTCCTATCTCTGTGAAAACAAACTTTTCTTGCTAATTGGGAGCAATTATTAATTTACAACACGTTTAAGTTTATGGCTTTGTTAGAAGTGTGGTTTTACTGCTTATGATAGGTGCTGGTTGTTTTGAGCTTTTATAACTTTGCAATAGGCTTAAGGTTTTGTGGTTTTGTGACAAGAAACATTGTTTTAAGAAAGAAAATATTGTTTTAAGATAAGAGAATGGGGACCAGAAGGCTGGTAATGTGATTCTGGTCTGTATCACCTTTCTTGGTGTGGACATCACAGAGATGCAAAATATGTCTTCCTCCCCTATGTAACAGGCTCAGCTGGGTGACCTTGGGTCGAGGGAAATTATTAACAGGACGCTCAGATCTGGGGTCTGAACCATTGTCTGAAACCAGCCAAGACCGGGTGGTGCAAAAGGCACTGTATTTGTCACGCTTCCTGGAAGGCAGGCATCTGCCAGCACATAAAGCGATGACACATTAACTCGCTAAACTCAAAAGGTAACCTAGCACCATCAATATTAAGCTTTATTGTGACATGAGCTTTTGAAAGCAGAAGCATACTTTGCCAGATGGGGAAGCTGGAACGTTATTTAATTACATAAAATCATTAGCGGGGAGAGCGACTTGCCTGATGAGAACGGATGGCTAATCAGATGCTCAATGGGCCTTGCAACCCACCAAGTTAAGACCCCTCTTAAGTTATTCTCCTATGCTACTTCAACCACCAAAATCTCTCTCTCTCTCTCTCTCTCTCTCTCTCTCTCTCTTACCAGTTCTTTTCAGTCAGGATGGTGTGGGAGAGCTGAGGCCGGGACATAGACATAATCTGGCTCCGAAGCTTGGCAATCAAAGACTGGAAACTGGGGTGCCCCTTGTACCCAGGCAGGAGGGAGAAGAGGGGGCTGCTCCCAGGGGCTGCAAAGGAAAGGAAGACAGGCGGGTTACTCCATCCGTTGGGGCATCTGGAGCCTTCACCAGAATGTAAACAGCCCTTTTCCAAAAGGAATTGTAATGAGAGAGAGAGAAAAAAACCTATCAAATAATAAAAAAACACTGATCCCGCGAGGAAAAAGCAAGCAAGTGATTTGTTACCTGGTGTAACTGAGGTGACAGTTCAAGCCGTGATGGGGCCATCACCGCATCTGGCTGGGTTGGAAGGGCAGGCAAATTGCTGCACTGGCCCGAAAAGCCAAGAGGTCCTGGGCTGGCTCAGCCCCTCATGGAACACCGTGTTTGGGGGCTTTCAGTGGATTAAACTAAACTGGCACCCACTCCACAGGCACAAGCTGGATGGAGAGACACCTTCACACAATCCAAACCTGCCCCCAGCCCAGCAAACTGGGGATGCAGGTTGCAGTGTTATTTGGAGCAGCAGGGGGAAATTCAGTGGATGGATTTTGCTCTGTGCTCCAGGGCTGCTGCAATTCCTCATATCAGGGCAGAACTATACGCAATCCATGCAGAAACCTAAATCACTAATGCAACATAATTCTGCTATTTTGGCTAAACAGGGTAGGCAATGAAATGTGCTCTTAAAGCCTTCCCTTCCTGCAGTTTCCCCACCCCAACTGTTCTT